AGGTTTAGGGTTTAGGGTTTATCCGAATCGGGAGCCCAGGATCCGAACCCAGGTCGGATGGCTGGGCTTGATAGTTAAGGGTTGCAAACTACCTTAGCTCGGGTTGTGTGTAATTAGACGCATGGTCGACTTCTTTTTGTGAGCCTAGAGTCTGCCTATAGTTAATGAATGCAGTTGATTTTTTTAAAAAACAATCCTCGAACATACCAAGTGTAGCTGTTTATCAACCCAGACTTCAAGGTATTCGTAAGTGTAAGTGTAGCCTGAGCCCTAAACCATAGGCGCCAAACCCGAGTTGCGAAGTCTGGGTTCTTGTAAGGGTTTACCTGAAATATTGCCATACGTACTAAGGAAGCCATGTTATTTACTATAGATCCACATTATGGTAACTAAATCCCTCAACAAGAACCCAAAATCCTAAACCCTAAACCCCTAAGCCTAAACCCAAAACCCCTAAACCCTAAACCCTAACGCCCTAAACCCTCAACCCTATGGTTGATGATATAAATCCTGCATTACCTTAAGGACCCTAGACTATGAGATTTATGGTATATATTCCTTACTATGGGTAATGCAGGATTTATATCATCAACCGTAGGGGTGCCTTATTTTGGGGTCCTCGTAATAAGGATCCTACTAGTTAGGGCAGTATATTAGGACCCTCCCCCCTATTTTCGGAAAGTCCCTTAAACAAATCAACCGAAATTCAAGTGTAGAAGGAGCTCCGAGAGCTGACGACGATCAAAATCGTCCGCGCTGCTGTGGCCGCAAGTGGAGTCAGGGCTCTGAGTCAGGGGTTCAGGGGTGGAGGGGTTTAGGGTTGAGGGGTTTAGGGTCGAGGGGTTCAGGGGTTGAGGGGTTTAGGGTTCAGGGTTCAGGGGTTGAGGGGTTTGGGGTTTCGGGTTGAGGGGTTTAGGGTTTACGGTTTAGGTTTGTAGAGGGTCGTATAGCAACCTTGCTCAGTCTTCTTCAGAGGGTTCCTACAGTGGGAATTGCTCTCTTTGGATTTCTGCATGAGGGTCCGTTGTTGTCTGACACTCCCGCATATGATTCCAAGTTAACCGTTGATGCCTAAACCCTGACTGCTCTCACTTTGAGCAAGTCGTTGGGCGCATGCTGAGGCCTTACGCCTACTGCAACTCGGCGGATGGGGGGGCCGTCTACCCTTTCGGCGTGGTTTACGGCTTTGGTGTTAAGGTTCAGTGTTTACGGGCTAGTCGAACGAGCCTATTGCGAAATCGCAAGTAAAAATAGGTCTCTTGCTTCCCACAAGAAATGACATCTTATACAGATACCACAATCGTGCTGTGGAGGCTGAAGAGAACGCACAGATGCTCATCCGACTCCCCTCAGCCAGACGAAACGTAACCTAACATACCAAGTCGTCTGGTTCGTGCGTCATAATAGCCCCCTATTCCTATTTATTATAGGGCTTCTGAGGCTTATAGGGTTTGTGGGGCTTATAGGGTTTATGGCTCGTAGATTTTGCCCCAAATCTCATTCTTGAGGCCCGTCCACTGAGTCTCCCGAATCAGCTTTTGGACCGAGCCTTCCCATCTCACAGCTCTGGAGGGCTAAGATGTTTAACATAGAGGCCTAAATAAGAACAGGGTTCATTTAAAGGGTTCTTATAAAGGGTCCTACTAGGGCCACTATATATGGGGTATTATGGGGGTATAATATAGGGGCCGTAGTAATTACCAATACTATTCTGGGGGTTCCTTATTATAAGTATAGTATAATGGGCCCCAAAGCACTATTCTAATTATTAAGGCCCCTATATTACGTTATGTTGTATTGTGGTGGTCAGACTATGCTGTATGATGTTAGATCATGTTAGGTTATACTATATACCTGAAATCCCGTATCATAACAGCCCCAGAACAGGGAGCTGAATACTTAGCAATGGTATTCACTTGCAGTTCGTACAGATTTCTACGACACCGAAGCCCGTTAATATTCTGATGATTAGGGCCCCCTTCTTTGACCCAAAACCTCAAACCCTGCACCGAAAGATTCCCACGCGAGATGGCCTTTGTATTCGTAGCATCTGGGGCGTAAACGGTGAGGCAGCTGACACCATCAGAAACTCCACCCACAGAATGCTTCGTGAATCATGACAGCGACCCTAAACCCTAAACCCCATAAAACCCTAAACCCCAAGGATGGGTGTAGGTCTCCTCCCCACAGGAGGTGGAGGAGAAGGCAGACTCGCTTCGTAAAGTCCCACACGCCTGGAGCATCCCGAAGGGCAAAAAACGAAGCCTTTAGTTCCGAAGCCCTAAACCATCCTAAACTCCAAAAATTTTGGCCCTTGAAACCCTAAACCCTAAACCCTGAACCCTAAACCCTAAACCCGGAACCCTAAACCCCCTGAAACCCTTAATTCACCTCGAGGAAGCTGTTGCGGCTTGTGAAGACGTCGCGGATAGTTCAAGACTTGGAGTCGCTTGGAGGCGTTTTTTCTGTCACTAGTAGTAGGGGTTTGGGGTTTAGGGGCTCAGGGGTTTTGAGGTTTAGGGTTGTTTAGGGTTTCGGGTTCGGGAGTTTGGGGTTTAGGTGTGCGGCGTGGGGCTTCAAAGTTTTCTTTTGCAAAATGGTGTGTGTGTGTGTGTGTGTGTGTGTGTGTGGTTTTTCAGAGGTTATGAGGCGTTTTGAGAGTTTGCAGGGTTTTCTAACGAAGCTGTATGGGTTCTAGGCTCTGCACGGCTCAGGTTTTTGAAGTTTCAAGGTGCAGAGTTTCGAGTTTCTTGGTGTTTGCTGTTTTGGGGCAAGCCCGGAGCTCAGTTGTTCCCAAGAGGCATTAATATTCCTTAGCATTACGAGTACACCCTTCACCCTAAACGCTAAACCCTAACAAGCATGTATTGGCAGTCGTGGTAGGGGTGCTGGCCATGCCCGTAGCAAGTTATAGAAGTAGTGTTGGCATGACGTCTGGTGCTGCTGCTCCTGCTCCAGCTGCTGGTATGATCATCATGACAACTAGTACAGTAATACTGCTGTTGCTGTTGCTGCTGCTGCTTTCTGCTACTACTACTACTACTACTACTATCACTACTACTACTACTACTACTACTACTACTACTACTACTACTACTACTACTACTACTACGACTACTACTACTACTACTACGACTACTACGACTACTACGACTACTACGACTACTACGACTCCTGCTCCTGCTCCTGCTCCTGCTCCTGCTCCTGCTCCTGCTCCTGCTCCTGCTCCTGCTCCTGCTCCTGCTCCTGCTCCTGCTCCTGCTCCTGCTCCTGCTCCTGCTCCTGCTCCTGCTCCTGCTGCTCCTGCTCCTGCTCCTGCTCCTGCTCCTGCTCCTGCTGCTGCTGCTGCTGCCGCTACAGCTACAGCTACTGCTACTGCTACTGCTACTGCTCTCGCTCCGGCTCCCGCTCCCGCTCCCTCTCCGGCTACAGCTGCTGCTGCTGCTGCTGCTGCTGCTGCTGCTGCGAATACTGCCTCACAAACCCTAGTGGGGATGGCAGTGCAGCCTTCAACCCTACGCCCTGAACCGTTGAGCCTGAATTCCTCCTCAAACGAAAGCCCCGGAGAAGGTGCAAAGGTTAAGACTTGATCAGGGGTTTACGCGCCAGACTGATAGAACCACGTACAACACTTACGAAACCTTGTGGAGCCCTTCAACCGTTCTGGGAAGCGGGGCACATACATGATCGGCGAGCCCACCAGCTTGACTTTGAGCTCTTCGCGCCTTCATGCGCTCGTCGGGCTTGCGGCACTTCCTGACTTCTAGTGTTCGCAGGCACTTCTTGCATTTTGCGAGATGTTTCACACTTTGCTCCGCACTTTCCCACATTTTTGCGTTGTTTCGTCCACCGGTGCGATGTTTTGCACTTGTGGACTCTCCTGCAGCTCTTTTTTCGATTAATTGATTACGTAAAGGTGCATATCGATTGAAGGAGGCCCCATGAAGCAGATCCACTTGCAGGAATCATCGACTTTGGCTTCAACATTCCTGGTCAGGACATCGTGCTCTTCAGCTCAAATGGTGAAGGCTTTGGGAAGGGTACCGTCTATGATATGTGTGGGATGAAGGGCTATGGCAGCCTGAAGCTGGCAGCGAACTTGCCTACCTTCAGGGACGACATGCTCCGGAACTGGTGCCGTGCGGAGCTTCAGCGAAGATCTGGTGGCCAGCATCCGCATTAGTGCCGGTTAGTGGACAGAAGCGATGGCAAGAGTGTAGTTCCAGAACCGTCTGGCTGCCAGACTCCGGGAGGGTGCAGGTCCTCCATGGCCACATGCGAGAAGTTCCCCGACGGGCTTGGGTATTGCCAGATTCCAGTCGTGTCGTCATTGCTAGCTTGGCTCGACTTGAGTGTGCTCACAATTGTATGAGCACTCAAGCCAAGTTAAGGTAGCAATGCCGACAAATTGAAGGCGGGAGTGAAGTCCCGACAAGGATGTTCTGCAGAGTGAGCGAGTTCCCAGCCACAGCTTGAGAAGCAAAGGTGTGCACCCATGAAACCCGGTCACTTCAAGGCAAGCGACTTCGTGCCTCGAGGGGCCGAGAGCGCGAAGTCCTGATCATGTCGTGGGCTCAGAGAGGGCTACCCTGCATTTCGAAGTTGTGTCTAGCGCTTTCGTGGATGAGGCTGGCCCACATGCGGCTCATCACCCCCTTTGATCTCGCAGGGGCCAGTGAGATTGGCCAGGACCTTTTGAAGTTCGATTTACCTGTTGCAGTGACACATCACATGTTTTGTTGGCCGGCTTGCAGCTTCATTATAGATACTGGGCGGGAAGCGGGCAGCACGCACTCATTGACGGCGCACGTGTGAATCAAGAAGCCAACTTCAACTCTCAAGATCACTTCAAGTTCTGCTTGCCTCGGCACTTGTTTCCTGATGGGCAAGGCCTTGAGCCACGAGCTACAATCGGGGGAGGAAAATTGCCAGTTAGTTTTGCGTGGATACCATTGACAAGCAAACAACCTCACAGGTTGAGTGTATGGCTGGACACAGCCATGCCTGGAAACGCCAAGAGTGGCCTGGGACCCACGCAGCTGCCAGGGCCAGAGTCCCTCTGCATCGCGCACGCCCTGCGCGAATTTTGTGGGGCTTACTTGGCCGGCTTTGGCCCCAAGAAGCGGTGGCGGGGCAACCTGTTCAGCAATAAGGTTGCAGGACCCAACAACAACGTCGAAGCCTACCTCGGCCGGTTCGAGTTCCAAGATGGCGCCAAATCACACCGCTACGGCAAGGGAAGGTGGTCCTTGCACGTACACCTCCTGTTCTGGTTCCACAACTTCCGAGCCACCTTCCTGGAAGACGCCATCTGCGCCGAAATGCGGCCCGGCGACGCGGAACTCACTACCTTGGCTCAGCCCCACGTCCGAAAGCCCTACACCATCCTACAGGTCTGAAGAGTTGGTAATCCCGTTACAACAGAAAAATTCTTTTATAAGACTAAATACTTATGGGAATCATGAAGGCTTTGGATTATTCTGACTACTCTGACTACGTATATAACGTGGAACCTTAGAGCCTTTATGGAACCCTAGCCCCAGAAGAAACTCTGCTCTTATCATACTATACTAACTCCCCAAGCCTTGTTCTAATCTTTAGCGTCCTTGTCATAACCCTACAAGACCGTTATAATAAGCCCTACTTCTAGAACCCCGTGAGCCTTAAATCCTAACCCCGAAACCCTGAACACGCTTGTCCTGGTTCGAAAGAGATCGAATTTCAGGAAAAAGGCCCCCCCAAAACGATACCTAAACCACCAAACCCTTTGGCCCATTCGGTTAGACGCCGAGGGTTCCCTGGTCGATACCCTACCAGCAGATGGCTTTGTGCCGGTTTTTGCTGGTTTTAGGCCGCTCAGTTGTTTTAAGGAGCTTTTTTTCAGGAGTTTGATTCGGATTCTAGGGCTCTGGATTTCCGGTTAGGCTTGTCGTAATTGGGGTGCAGGGTTGAGGGTTTCAGGTTTCTGATCGAAAATCGAAAGTTACCACATGGTGTAGTAAAGTATCATAGTATTGGCGAATATGGCAGTATATTATAGTACATGTTTAACCTGTAGTTTATTGTAGCATTGTAGGTTTATAGTATTTTACGATTGCATTTCGGGGTACCGAGCCTGACGTTTTAGCGGGTTGTCTGGTTTTTTCTGTGGCGCTTGTGCACTCTGGGCAGAAAGGCGCGGGTACCCCGTCTTACTTTCTAAAGCCCCTATCCCAATCCCGCCAACCTGGCACCCAACCGCCTGCCGCCTTGAACCCGAAAGGTTCTATGACTTGTTGGTTGCCTCTAAACGCAAAACCGTAAACCGAAAGGTCGCCAAAAGTTCGTAGTCCGCCCGACTGGATCGCATCGTTTGACTACTTCAGGGTTTAGGGCGTGTTTGTTTTAACACGAATACGGCGCCGAAGTCCTCGGACAGAATCCTGCATTTGAGTTGCTTCTACATGTATGTGCCCGTTTGGGTTTAGGGTTCTGGTTTCCGATCTTCTTCAGGGTATAGTATTACAGAGTTTATGGTTTCTGGTACAGGGCTCCAATTGTCGCAGGCTTGATGTGTCACTGGCTGGCATGTCTTTGGGCGATGACTCTGCTGCCGCTTGTACGAACCCAGCTTCAGCTCGACCTTATTCCCTTAGTGTAGGCCTAGGAATATTTATAGTCCCCATGTAGCCGCGGCTACCCAAAGCCGTACTAAAGGCAATGCAGGGCCCTAGACTCGTAGCATCAACGTTAAACTGTTGAGCTCTAAGCCCTAAGCACACGAGATCTTCAGCCCCATGTACGCCCATGTCTGCGCCGTGAGAGCCCAACCACCCGAAGCCCTCAGTATAGAGGCCGCAAGATTCAATAACGTCCTACCTTTTTTGTCCCTTTGTACCTATAAAAGTACACCATAGCCATACTACAAGCCCCCAAAACCTACGCCAACTAGTAAGGCCCTTACACCCCATAACGTGCCTCTGATTAGAGATTGAGGCCCCTAAACCCAAAACCCCTAAACCCCTAAACCACTAAACTCTAAACCCCAAACCCTAAACCCCACTGAACACAAAAAAAAACCTAAACCCTAAACCCCTAAGCCCCTCAACCCCTAAACAGAGGCTCGTCGACCCGGTGTACCCACAGTGGATCGACACTATCCAAGAAGCCGATGCTGCCTACGGAAACTGAGCGAAGGTTAATTTAGGGTTTTGGATTTAGGGTTTAGGATTTCGGCTTTAGGATTTAGGGTTTAGGATTTAGGGTTTAGGGTTTAGGATTTCGGGTTTAGGGTTTAGGCATTGTAAATTACAGTATGATTTTTTCTCTCAAGGAGCCCGAAGAAATGCAAAATACCCTCAAATTGAGGCGGCTCGTTGGGTTCTGATGGGCGGTGACGAGTAGGGCTGAGGGTGTCGGGTTCGGGGGTCGGAAAGGTGTAGGATGCGAAAGGGTTCAGATGTTGAAAGGGTTTCCGTGAACTCTGACCCTGTGAGACATAGCAACCCTCTACACGCTACGGCATATAAGCCATATACGCTATAAACTCGGAGATTATGACCCCTATAAGCCCCCTTCCGTCCATTATGTATGTAAATGGAATCACAAGCAGAAACTCGAAAATGTGCTTTTATCATTACCTTGGAGTTCACCGCAAGCACGAGGCAAACGGTATTGTGCCGCAAATCCCAGATGAGCCCAGCCCATAGATCCTTGCAGCACCATCCGTCTTCCTTGAAGGCCCGGACGGCCCCAAAATGGGAGTTTCCCAAAATGAGGGTTACCTCATTTTGGGGTCCTTTATAATAATCAGGATCCTATATTATTTGGGGTACTATTAATGGGTCCTCTATTTTCGGAAACTCCCACATCTTAGCCTGATCCCTAAGTGTCACACTAAGGGATGAGGGGTAACTGTTCTGCTTAGTGTCACCTGCAGACCTGCCCAAGGAATCATCACACGGGACTCTCCGTATCGGGTCTATGCTGCCCGGCAAGACAGCGGTTTAGGGTTTAGGGTTTAGGGTTTAGGGTTGGGGGGGAAGAGTTCTTGTAAGCCCCCACAGCCCCTACAAACGACACCCCGACGTCCAGATATGCCCGTCGAGCCTCAACCCCTAGACCCCTCAGCCCCCATCCATAGTAGTGGACCCTGCAGGGGATCGAATTCATGGTTTGGTTTCGGTTCAGTGTTCAGGATTCGTTTGAGTGCAGAACTCTCCTTCGATTTGTGGTCTCGTCTGCTGCCAAATCGATTCCTTGATCTACTTCAATCCTGGCGTGGATACAGGTTGCCGGAGCCCAGAATATTCAAAGAGTCCCTAAACGGCCCTAAACCCTAAACCCAGAATACTAAAAGAGTCCCTAAACCCCAAACCCTAAACCCAGAATACTCAAAGAGTTCAACAACTTTGGGGGCGCCACGGTCATCCTTACGATAAGGAAGGGGCTCGTTGAGCGATTGCTTCTGAGGGCTGAAGACCCAAAGACCCCTGAATCCTACCTGGACCCCAAAAGTAAGTAGAATAATGGCCCTTTATAGGATTTTTGCCATAATTTTGCCTACTTTTGGGGTTTAGGTAAACCCTACACCCTCAGCCCTACTGTTCAAAGGGGAAAAGGAGGGACCCTTCATGGAGACCCCTACCCTATAATGGGCTATATAATGGGTATATAATGGCTATATTAAGGGTATATACCTAGGGGTCCTTATTAAGGGTCCCTCTTTTTACCCTTGGATACTGTAAACTTCAAACTCTTATAGGGCCTGGGCAGGATCATGATGCACTCGAGCTCAGCTTAGGCTTGGGCAGATCCCCGAACTGCCGGACGTCCTACATCCGGAATAGCTCTTCCCAACGAGAGAGGTCAAGATTTTACGGTGGTTGTTCCCAACAAGAGATTCCTAAACCCTTACAAAGCCGGAGCTTTCCGTTGACAAAATTTTCTTAAAACACACCGCAAACAACCTGGTAAAGCTGCATAAAGAAGCCCAAAACCCTGAACCCTAACCTAACCCTAAGCCCTCTTCAGGTAGCATCTTTCTACTTCTGCACCTACACGCTCACCTCTGTGGGCTATGGGGATATCGGGCCCCAGAACATCTTGGCGCTCTGACTCGGTGGGTTTGGGGAAGCAGTTACTACAAAGGTCGTCGTAAGTGTTATTGTGAGAGGAAGGCTTTGAGGTTTAGGGTGTATGCAGTAGGGATTACCGCTGGTTCAGGGTTTGGGTTTCAAGGCGAGTTCAAGGTTTCGTGTTTAGTTCAGGGTTTACGGAGGATTCGGGTTGCGGAGGATATGGGTTTCCGCTGTTAGTTCCAGGACTAAGGATTGCTGAGCGCTGGGTTCGTAGTCATGACTCGGCTGAGGATGTTGATGCATGTCGGCTTGCGTTCTTGTTTTGTTTGATGATTCGAGGAGTCGGCAGGGATTCGATTAATTTGAATTTTTCGAACCCACATAACCCCAAAACCAGATGACCCCACAGCATTATGTTCCCAACGCTACAGCACACACCGCAAACTTCGAGCGCACTAAACCCCAAAGCCCCTGAGCTCTGAACCAGCAGCCCTTGTCTGATAGAATGTAGGAACCTGATTAAGAAACCTTGGGCCTTTATTTGGGTTCCTTATATGAACCCTACTATCTTGGGGTGTCAGGACCAGGGTTTCTTAATCAGCTTCCTACATTCATCTTGGTTTCAGGCTGCTTGTTGCTTCGAAGGATGTTCGAGGATGCGAGTTTGGGCTTCAGGTCCGGGCGTGCCCTAAAATACAGAATGGTGTCCCGAGCGAGGTCGTTCGAACTCGAAGGTTTGAAAGTTTGAAAGTTTGGAGGTTGAAGCTTGAAAGTTTCAAACTTTGAAGGTTTGAAGGTTCGAAAAGTGCAGGAGTTCGAAAGTTTGTGCACCTTGGTGTGCACAAGCTAGCCGGCGTCAAACTTCGAACTTTTCAAACTCGAAACTTTCAAACTTTCAAACTCTCGAACTCTCGAACTTTCGAGCTCGACTGACTGCTTGAAACTCAAACTTCAAACTTTTCCCGCGGGCGAGTTCGATCGGCCTTCGAAGTTTGAGAGTTTGAGACTTTGAAAGTTTGCAAATTCGAAGGTTCGACGGTTTCAAACTTTGAAAGTTCGAACGTTCGAAAGTTTGAAAGCTCGAAAGTTCGAAAGAATGAAAGTTCGAAAGTTCGGAGTTTGAAAGGTTGGCTTCAGATTGGCTTCAGATTTCCTCTTCGGCTTGGGCTGAGGTGACGAGTTTGAAAGTTCGAAGGTTTCAAACTTCGAAAGGCTTCAAGTTCGAAGGTTTGAAAGTTTCAGAGATCGAAAGTTTGAAAGGGATGAACGTTCGCGAGTTTGAGAGTTCGAAAGTTTGCAAAGTTTGAAGGTTTGAAGTGCGTAGAGATGGAAAGTTTGAAAGTCCGCCGAGTTTCGAGCTTGAAAGTTCGAGAGTTTGACAGATTGAAAGTTCGAGTTTGAAAAGTTTCAGAGTTTGAAGCGCTCGACATGCGGTCACGTATATGGGTGGCGTTCTCAACCCCAATTAAGTATCTGGAACAAACACGCCTTCTCTGTTGGCGATTCCGGTTCACTGCGCCCTCATTTTGCGATTCCGGTCATCATAGCCCCTCACCACATATCTTTATTACGCTCCCATTGGGCGATTCCAGCACACCGTGTAACTTAAACGCACCCCTTGAGTTGGCGATCTTAAGCACACCCCTCATTTAGCTTTTCCGGGTCATCGTATTTGTCGTATTACGCTTACTCATTTGGCGCTTTCGGTTAATTTTACATCTTACACACGCCTTCTCTTTTGGCGATTCTAGTTCACGGTATATCTCAAGCACGCCCAAAGGACGTTTTGGTTCATTTCTTCGCGGCTTAAAAAAAAGGGGAGTTTGCTGTCTAAAAGCGCATCCCCCCCCTCCCCCTCCATTTGCAAAGCTTCCGAACCACCCAACATGAATATTATTTTCGCTTTTAACCCGCCTGATGCGTTTTCGTGTGGCTTTCTCCTTTGTGTGTCTTGGAGAAGACTTTTCCCGGCGGCTAGTGGTACTAGTCGGGGGGTGGCGAGGGGCTCATGGGTGAAATATGATAGGGGGGCTTTGTAGTGTTGGATCTGGGCGAAGTATGAGAGAGGGGGTTGGGTGAAGTAAGTAGTCTTCCAAATCACTGGGGTTGGGTGAAGTACCTAGTCCTCCAAATCACCTTCCAAATCACTCATGATCATAATGCTCTTTTCTTCGTTTTTAACCCCCTGAAGCGTTTTCGTCTGTTTTGTTGTTTTTTTCGTTTGTGTGTGTTGAAGAAAACGCGGCTTAAGAGAGCGGGGAGTTTGCAGTCTAAAAACAGCGGGGGGTTGGGGGGGGGGGCGCAGCCCCCCCCATTTGCAGAGCTTCCATATCATTCATGAAAGAAGGGGGGTTTTGGGTGAAGTACGCTTGCAGTCAAAAATAAGCGAGGGGGGGTTGGGGGGCGCAGCCCCCCCCTTCATCTGCAGAGGTTCAAAATCACTCATGATTCATGATATCTTCTTCGCTTCTAATCCACCTGAAGCGTTTTCGTGTGCTTTCTCCCTTGTGTGTGTTGGAGACTGGGGGGGGCTCGAGTCTTGGATTTGAACCAAGTATGAGGGGGCGGGGCTCGTAATCTGGTTTTTGGTGATGTATGAAGGGGTTACTTTTTTATTTTTTTTGCGGCTTAACAGAGCAGGGAGTTTGCAGTCCAAAACAAGAAGGGGGTTGGGGGGGGCGCAGCCCCTTGCAGAGCTTCCAAATCATTCATGCTTAAGTTTTGATCTTCGCGTTTAGCCCCCTGAAGCATTTTTGTGTTGTTTTCTCCTTTGTGTGTGCTGGAGAAAGGTGGGGCTTAAAGTCATGGATTCAGGGAGACTGTAAGGGGACGCCTCGACGTCTTAGATTTGGACGACGTATCAGGGGAGGGGGATCTTAAGAGAGCACCTCCATTTGCACAGCTTCTGAATCACTCATGATGAATTTTAATTCTTCGCGTTTAACCCCCTGAAGCGTTCTCGTGTTGCTTTCTCCTTTGCGTGTGTTGGAGAAAGGGGGGCTTAACATCTTGGTTGTAGGAAGACTGTAAGGGGAAGGGGGAGGCTCGAAGTCTTGGATTTGGACGAAGTATGAGGTTGGGGGGGCTCGTAATCCTGGTTTTTGGTGAAGTATGAAGTGGGAGACGCTTTCATTAATTTTTTTCGCGGCTTAGCAGAGCGGGGCGTTTGCAGTCTAAACAGAGCGGTGGGGTTCCCCGAAGACTCCAAGCCGCCCCCCCCCCCCCGCCCCCCCATGGTCTTCCTAAATCCAGAACAACAACCCCCCCCTTCATAGTCTTCCTAAATCCAGGACTGCAGGCCCACCCCCCCCCTCATCCTCTTCCTAAATCCAGGACTACCCGTTCGCCCGGGGGGATCCCGGGCTATTGAATCGGACTCGGAGTTACCGGGCCCAGACCCTAAAATGAGGACGTCAACATGGTTTCAAACTCAAACTTTCAATGTATTCAAACTTCAGACTCTTCAAACTTACAAACCTTCAAACTCCCAAACTCTCAAACTTTGAACATCTCAGACTTTCCAACTCCACGGCTCTCAAACTTTCAAACTTTCGAAATTTGAAAACTTCAAACCTTCAACCCCCCAAAGTTTGAAAGTTTCGAAATTTCAGTCTTCGAAGCTTTCGAACTTTCAAACTTCCTGGGTTTCAAACTTTCAAACTCCAAGCTCTCAAACTTTCGAACTCGAGCCTGAGGGCTGCTCTGTGAACCCCTACACGTCTCCAGCGGTCCTTCTCCTTTTCAAACTTTCGAACTTTCAATCTTCGAGGCTTCAAACTTTCAAATTTCCTGGGTTTCAAATTTTCAAGTTCCAAACTCGCGCCAGCTTTCGAACTCGAAACTCTCAAACTTTCAAACTTCAAACTCTTCATTCTCCAAACTTTTCAAACTTTCAAACTCTCGAATCCCGTCCAACATGTACTACGTTCAAACTCTCAAAGATTCGAGTTCGAAAAAACCCACTCGTGACACCTCTCTAAAATACATGGAGAGGTTCGGCTGTGGTGTGAGGCACAATCAAGCTGGCCACGAACTGAACCCTAAATCCTGAGCTCCGAACCTTGGATGTTGCGACTGTAGCGGGGAGGAAAAGGGCCCTCAAAAAAAAAAGAACCTTGGATGTTGAAACTCTACCCCCCCAAACTCGAGACCCTGAACCCTTAAGGCCCTCTGACCCGACTCCCCAAGCTCCTGATATCCTGAAGCCTCAGCCCACTGTGAAAGCTAGCCTCAGGGGCTCATAACTTTTTGATCACGAAGCTTCTGCGCAAAGCTATTATCCCAGGCACCTCTTAGCCCCTAAACCTTAAACTTAAACCCTAAACTCTAAACCCTAAACCCTAAACCCTTAAAAAAAGATAGGGTGCTCATAGGTTTAGATCCGGAGATCTGGGATGCAATCGGATCAGCAGAGCTGCCTTTCGGGCTTGGGCTCCGGTTTTGGGGAGAAGCTTGGGGGTTCTGGGCCCAGGCCAGGGCGCCTTTACATTTTAAATCGGGGTTGCGCCTTCATAGTCCCTATATGTCTACTGGGAAATACCCCAAAGTCTGATTTTCATAATCGTGACTCCTACATATTACAGTAGGACTCACAGTGACGGGACGAGACACCGCAGTTGCTCGCTCGTGGAGCTCCCATAGGAAAGACGCCCGAAATCTCAAACCTCTCACTGTTAGTTGAATGAGGCTGTCTGCAAGTGTTACTTCTAGTGTTGAACATAGAAGCCTGAATAGTTCCCAAGATTGTTCCGGAGGGTGCTTTACTGTATTGTAGCCCAGAACGAAAATTCCAGTCTTAAGATGCCGATCTTAACCGCCGAGACCCTAATGCTCAGGGTTGAAGGTTTCAGAATCCTGGAGTGCACGGTGCTAAGGTATGGAATTTATTCCTAAGGCTATGCCCTCTGTCTGCATGAGCCCAACACGCCCCATCTAAGCTGCATAAGCCCTGAACCCTAAACCCCTCAAGCCAGAGCTGCGACATTCCTGCGCTCCCTTGGCTTTGTGTGAGCTCTGAGGAAAGGACTTTCCTCAGTGGCGTGGTGCTCATCGCTGGTCTTTCTTGGGCTTACATCATCGGCCGCTTCGGCAGGGGTATCGGTCACTCCATGGCTTTATCCGTGAATCTTAGTTTACAACACTACTCCTTATCAGAAGAAGCATAATAGTTGTGACTATGACCATATTCATAGCAATACAAAAGCATCGTATCAATCATCATAAGCCTTTATAAGCCTTCAACCCTCAACCCAAAGCCATGCAGCCTAAAGCCCCAAGCTCACCGCTACAGTATCGTGGGCTGGGCAAGTGAGGTCATAATTACTTGAACTCGGGTTGTATTTGGGTTGTATGTAGTTAAAAGCGTAGCTACCTTAACTCACAACCCTACTTAGTCCCCCCGTCCTTTAGGTAAGCTAGATTGACCCCTAAACCCTGGACCCTATTCCTTGAGCCCTAAACCCTGAACTATACACTCTGGTCCCCAAGCCTTAACCCGGATTCCTCGGGTTACTATAGAAGCCTGTATGAAGACTATATCAGCATTATATCAACACTACTTTGCAATTGTATTACGGCTATATTACAAAAGCCGTATTCTAATTACAAAGGCCACCGGCTTAGCTTTGAAGTGTTTCATTCGTGTTCTGGAGGGCCGGGACAAGTGGGCAACGGCAGTAGGACCTTACAGCATTGTGCTTGCAAGGGAATGGAAGAGGAACATGATCGCGCCCGACCTGGCCCAGGACTGCTGAATGGCTGCAGACGAGTAACTTGAGCCGGCGCCAACAGCGGCAGCACGAGGAGAATCCGGAGGCCGCCCGTTGGACTTCGACCTGGGGCTCTCCAGGGACTTCCTCTGGCCACACCCCCTCAAAGCAGGGCGGAAGTGCTGGCGCAGCACAGTGGTTCGATGGAGAAACTTCCATCCGAGACCGTGTGGACGTAAGAGCCCTGTACCTTAGCGCCTTAGCAGCTATTGCCAGCCAACGTCCTTCCGAAAGCAACAACAGCAAAGCCTGCTTGCTTGGAGTACTCCCACAGCCATGGCCTCTGCTGCTTCTGCCATGACGGTTCGTACCGAGATCCAGGCTGGGGCTACGGTTGCTAGTGTGCACATGCATCTGACTTCAGCGAGAGCTTTGTCTGCATGTCTCGAGCCAGGGACTATGTGGTGGGAGACCGCGCGCCCGGGCGGCGTCGGCTTCGACAGTATGTCGGAGTTAAGGCCAGGGGATTGCGCGTGATCGCGCAGCGCATGTACACAGCCGCCGGCGAGGTAGGATCGAAGAGCAGAAATGAAGAGGGTGAGTCGGCGCGTGACGCATGCACCGCCGCTGACCAGGGAGAGGTGGTCTTGACGGAGGCAGCCGCGAAGGTGAAGCAGGGTTTGCTGCTGTTGCCGGGGCAGAATTTGAAGGCCATGCAACAAAAGATGGCCGAATATGTTTCAGAGCGCACCCGCCTCGTCAAGACCTACCGAATGTGGCGTTCCAAGGGCGGGGGCGCTGAATTCGTGCCGCACCACAAGCTGCACTGGGTTGCACGCAAATTCGCGCCAAGGGTGGTCGGATGAAGCGGGGGCCTCCATGCCCTCACAATTGCAAGGAGTGTGCTACCTGTAATGGGGACGCGACGTGTCCCTTGCACAAAGAAGCCGCCACCCAATTCGGCGAAGGCTCCGAGGAGTTCTGCCGGTGTCTGCTCAAGGAAGGGCCGTTTCATCCGAACAGTCACTTCGCGACGATGAACGTGCTCTTCCGAGAGTATCCGCAGGGCGAGATACTACCCGACACCGTGCCGTTGCCGCCCCTAGCGACAAGGAAGAATGCTTGTGGTCAGAGGGACTTGTGCTGCTCTAAGAGCTGCGTCTGCATGGGCTGTCGCTTTTGTGAGCGCTTGCGCAATTTGAAGGATAGATTTCTAAGCTCAAGCACTCCTGCCTAGCGAGCGCCCCTGACGCTCTCTCCAGTCGTGAGTCCGAAGAAGGCCGGGACCGGTCGTCCGAGGACGAGTGTCGTGGAGAAAACCCGTCTCAGGTCAGCAAGCATGGCAAGAAGGATGTGACCCGCCAAGGCTGCACCAATAGTGCAATCCAAGCGTGGCACTTCAAGCGAGGGCCTCAGTCTTATGCAGTCTAATTTTTGTTGGGGTGCACACCCGCTCTTGCCAGGACCGGCTTGCCACAAGACGTCGCAGACGCTCTGAAAGGCCACGGATTCCAGAAAGGGCTGGGCGCGACTCCGATCTTTGCCGTTCGACCCGGCCACCCGAGGGGCTCCGACTGGACCCTGAAGGTCCGGATCAACGACGAAAAGGAGGAACGGAGTGCACGAGTTAAGCGCAAGTCCATGGACTTTAAGCAGCTTATTTCACCCAATGCCAGAGGCACCGACCTCGCAATTTGGTTTAAGCGGATATTCTCTCCAAAGAGCTGGAACTGGAGCGTCGCAAGGACCTCCAGCCCGGTTTCATTGGCCCGGTGGACTGGCCCGAATGGCGGGAGCGCCGGCGCCAAGAGGAAGCAGCTGACACAGGCTCCTCGGATGACTGAATATCGGCCGATGCCTGGCCGTCCACGCAAGCGCCGCATGGAAATTCGGCGCAGCTTTCGATGAGGCGTTCGTGCGCCACTGCATCGACGAACCTTGGATCGGCGGACCTCCTTGAAGAGCCTAAGCATGAGCGTTTTAAAGGGTCTTTGAAGTCCGTATCTGCAACTGGAGATGGAAGGCTAGAAGATCTGTAGCGAGAGTTGCCGTCCAAGAACTCAGAACGATCCGACGATCCAAGGCAGAGCCCGAGTAGTATAAGAGCCGTGCTGCTAGCAGCTCGTGGTGCACATGGAAGGCCAGTTCGATAAGAGTCCATCAGGGCAGAAACAAGGCAGGCATGTCAAGAGCAATGCAATGCTTTTTAAGGGAAAGCAATTCCGTTCAGATCAGTTGTTATAGCTTCAGCAGATGCTACTCGGTTGCAAGACACACACGGTTGCACGTGGGAGCAACTCCTTTTCGGCAAGGCCTACGACCCCAGCCGTTCAACCCACGGCTGTCTGCAAAAAGGGTTTGGATGATTTAGGATTTGGGGTTTAGGGTTTAGGTTTGGGGTTTGTTTAGGGTTTAGGGCTTGGGGTTTAGGGTTTAGGTTTGGGGTTTGTTTAGAGTTTAGGGTTTGGGGTTTAGGTTTGGGGTTTGTTTAGGGTTTAGGCTTTAGGTTTGGGGTTTGTTTAGGGTTTACGCTGTGGTTTAGGGTTTGGGGTTTAGGCTTTTCATCGCCAGTGGCCGTGGTGTTCGAATATGGCAGCCGAAGTAATTGTTTAATACGGTCAAGATTTCCCACGAAAGTCTTTCTCCAACGATGTCGGACAAGTGCAAGATGTCCTCCAAGACCGCCTCTACCAGTGCCCCGCAACGGTGGCGGACGGGAGCCGACTCCGACGACTCCATGATCACCAGTCGCTCCAGCAAACTAAGCGCGGACCCGCGACATCCAGCGCACCAGCTCGGCAGGTGAAAGAATTGCGCCGCGCCATGTGGAAGCATGGGATCGACACATTACGCATGCCCGCTGAGCACATCCTCCAGAAACACCGGAGAAGCATCGCGAAACTCCATTCGCAGTGCGCGCCTTCACGGCCGAGGCGGCGGAGCATATCGCCTTTCACAGCCCTTATATAGAATTAAACCCTATTCCAGTTTAGTTATCAAATGCCAGTACATCAGGCACCCGTAAACCCTAAACCCGAGACCCTACACCCTATACAATGAGCCCTCTTGAGCCCGAGCCCACTGAAACTGAAATCCTGAAGCTCCGAGGAGAAGTCGGAGGCATAGTGCAAGACATCACCAAAGAGAGCCAGGAGAAAGCCGGGTCGTGGTTTAACGTGTAGGGCATAGGGTTCAAGTTCTAGAGCGGGTTTAGGATTTGAGGTGTAGGGCTTACGATGCAGAGTTGGGGGTCTTGGGATTGAGGTTCAGGGTTGAGGGTTTAGATTTCAGGGTTTGGGCCTAGGGTTTAATTTTGGGGTTTAGTTTAGGGACATGTTGGGGTGGTAGGTGTGGGTTTTCGTGCATTCGGGGTATTTGTTGGGAAGGCGGTAGGGGGGCTTTTTCAATTCAGAAACTGAGAAAGGTTAGGGCTTCTAGTGAAACCCTAAACCGTTGTATTGCTCTGGAGCTGCAATTATACATCTCCCGAAGACGCGGTCTTCTTGGTTGGTGATGTTGACAGGTTTGACAAAGCACAAGTCGCTTGGCTTCGATAGGTAGTCTGTCACACCCACTACCCTGAACCCTGTAAGTTTTAACTCTTAAACCGATCGCAGCCCTTCACCAAACAAACCAGCCGTACGGCTCCTTGCAATACCGAAGGAAGCTGTTGACCGGGCTTCTCCGACGCAGTGTGCCGAACCCATCAGCCAGGAACTACATGTGTGGTTATATTTATACACATTCACTATATACTATTATTTATTTCTGAGTGTTTTGTCTACAACACCTGCGCACGTACATACATACACGCACATGTGTTTGTAATTATTTATATATGTATATGTAATCGTATATGTATGTATGGTGTATGTCTTTGTATACATGAATTTGCGTGTGAATGTGTCAGAGGCAGCTGTGCACATGTGTTTGTATTTTTGTGTGCGTGCATTTTGTTATCCAGACTGTAAGAACTCAACCCCGAACTCGAAGCGCCAACCCCGCACCCGCAAACCCCGAATCCCACACACTAAGCCCAGACCCAAAACATTGAACCGTTTACTTCCGCTGTATCCCCTGTGTTTGTGGAGGAGTTCCGAAAGAGGATGCATCACCTGAACCAGATGATGAAGGCTCGATTTTCAAACAGAGTGCTTCAGGGTCAACGGGTTTAAGGCCGAGGGTTCAGAATTTTTGTCGAGGGTTAAATGAAGGAATTTGTCAGTAAGCGTTGGTCCTTGTCATGTTTGATGTGGCTCCCAGAATCTTGGGGATTCGGCCCGAAAGGTTCGTAGTCCCGATTCCCTGCACCCCAAAACTGCAACGCTAACCCTTTGCACTCAGCGCCGCTTGCACCCTAAACCTTAAACCGAAACTCCCGGACTGCCAGGTAGTCTTACGCTTTGCATAGGTCGGAATTTGAGCAAGTAGTTGTTGTCGTGGTTGTAGTAGCAGTAGTAGTAGTAGTAGTAGTGGTAGTGGTAGTGGTAGTGGTAGTAGTAGTGGTAGTAGTAGTAGTAGTAGTAGTAGTAGTAGCGGTAGTGGTAGCCGTCGGTGTTGCTTTGGTTAAAGGTTTCGGATCAGGCATGATTCTAAATAGGGGTTTCGGTCCTGAATGAATGAGATCTAATCCCTCTTCGAACCGTCCAGTACACCCGGCCCAGTGCCTTAAATCTTACCTTGTGCCAAAGCCCCTCCGCCACCGTGGGACCGAGGATCTTGGAATACGGTTCATACAGAACTACTATGTTTCATACAGAGCCACTATTCTGACCTTATATTACCTTGTTAGCTTTAATTTCAAAGCTCTGCGATCGTCAGTGCTAGGCTCGAATCGCTAAGCTCCGAAGCCCTGGAACTTAAACCCCTAAACCCCCAAGCCCCAAATGCTTCAGCCCCCCAAATCTTCAAACCCTAAACCCTTATACCATGAACCCTCAACTCCACAGGTCTAGAGCCCGAAATTTTACCTTTGGTTAGTATTATAGTGCCGCTATAGATCCCCTATAGTAACCCTTATAGACCCCTTTATAAGGCCCCTTCCATTCCCTACGAACCAAAGGTAAGAAATGCGAGAAACAAGCAGCACCTAAACCCTAAACCCTAAACCCTAAACCCCAAACCCTAAACCCCAAACCCTAAACCCTAAACCCTAAACCCTAAACCCTAAACCCTAAACCCCTAAACCCTAAACCCCAAACCCTAAACCCTAAACCCTAAACCCTAAACCCAGGACCAGGGGCTGCCCTTCAGCTTGCAATGCCGCCTGAGGCGGTTCTTCCTTCAGCTCCCCGGCTCTGCCTTTTAGGGTTCAGGGTACCTTTAAAGGGATCCTCTTGGGGTTCCTTAAAGGGATCGATA